CTTCAGAGATTATATATCAAACATGCATTTCATTTTCTGCTCTTTGGTACATGTGTAACGGGAATTCCGGCAATAAAAAGTTGAAGATCTTTTTGGTTTCATCAGTTTTATATATCAATAATTATATACAATAACATTATAATGGTACAATAAAATATTAATAATAGTAGATATTCATAGGAATCATAATTCAAATAGTTTAGATATTTCACTCTTTGGAATGTTGTTACACTTTACATGCATGAAGAGCATGACTCATGCAAACTTGATCTTTACATTTACCTTACACAATAGTGAAGAGTTATCTTTCCTATATAACCAAAATAATAAAAACAGTACTGCATACCAGCTTGTGGAACCAAATCCATCTGACATACTGTATGGATCTTTCAGATATGGTATTACATGCACACTATATCAATAATAAATAAATTGCTAAAGATATGCTCACTACAACAACTCTGTATTTACCCCAAAATACTTTTAATGCAAATGTCTAAAGATATTAACTCATACGGACTTTCAGATTTTTCCACATTTATTTTTACAAAGTATGAAATTCTTAGATTCTCATGAATATTGAAATTCATATTCTAATTAATTAATATAAATTAAAAAGGTTAAAAATATTAGTATGTACAGTCTCTGTCAGTAAGAAATACGATTTCAAATATTGCAATGATTCACCAGATTTAACTTTCTACGTCTAAAACTCTTAGATTTTTCAAACTAAGTAATCACTTACTCATAAACAATGCACATGTAAGACTCTTGGCCAACTTTTTAATGAAATGTAAATGCTCAACCAATGAACGAATGTCTGTGTGAAATGTATAGGTGAATCAAGAGAGATGGATTGAAACACGAAATACCTTTTATATTTAAAATTATTTAAATTTTAAATTTATTTTATTTTTTTATCATATACTAAATTATTTAATTAAATATACCTCTACTTCACATGTATTAAGAAGATAAATTAAGGGAAAGGTTAAGATGAGCATGGATATTGAAGTTGTAAATTCCATGGTCACGATCAGAGGCTCATTTTATAATTTATAAAAAAAAATGCTGTAGTTTTCTTTCGGATCTTTTCTGTAATTCTGTTTTTTTTTTTTTTTTTTTGGAGAAACCAATGTATAAACACTTGCTTCATCCCAAGTCTTGAAATTCATAGCCCTTTTAGGCATAGGTTCTGAAGATAGTTAAGGACGTCATCGGTCTTTCTACATTGATTAATTGATTGAGCATAGTTTTTACGCCCAACACGGGTTTTTCTTGTCATTTAAAGAACAGTTAATAGATCTACGAGGAGCGATCAAAAGTTCTAGAGCTAATTGTATTTCTTTTAAAAATAAAATGGTTTAAGGTGCTTATATTGAAGACATACTATTTTCAAAGTAGTCCTCTCCGATTTAAATGTGTATCCTTAACCGTTACGTCTATGCACGGATCATGTGAAATAGCGGTCAAGTGACATGCTCCTCAGTGTTCTGTCACAGAAGCTGAGAAATGTTTCCAACTCGTGTACTTCATACAATGCAAGTTGTTTTTTATAACAAAACCGCCCAATTATCTTAAAGGGCGAAATCTTGGCAATAGTGTGGGTGGATAATGATTATCCTTTTCTAGAATGAGAATGATGACCATCAAAACCCAAGTTCTCTGTTTTTGAAACGTCGTTTATTCAATGTGGATAAGGTATAGGTTCCTTCTTTTTATCATAAGTAAAAAATTAATTAAAGTCTAGAGTAAAATGATATTTTGAGGATTTATCAATCGAATTATTGATGATATTTTATCATTTTCTTGCTGTAACTTTCGTTATCTCTCATAACAAATTGCCTAACAAAAGACACTAGGCTACAAAGCAGACGTCATCTTAAACCATCTCCATCCCTTCCTTCACTAAACCAATCAATCCAATCTATGATGAAATGTCTGGAAAGTCTTTTGTCTTCATGAACCCTGTACAAATTATTAAAAGATTCTTCAAATAAATTTCCATGTTATAGGTTAAATTTTTCTGCCGCTTTTTGCTCGAGTAAGACTATGAAAACCATATTTTGACCATATCTAGTCACGAGTCACTTATATATTTACGTCATTTTCTGATTGTGACGTTACAATGAGATGGAGAAAATCATTACTTTTCATATCCTATTTATAGGCCATTTATATGACTATACACGTAGGTGTACCAACTTTCGTTCTGATCTGTATCGTGGTTTTGTAAATATAGAGGTTGTTCGCGAACACCACTCTTATGTTTGATTGTAACTGATAACTGGATTAAAAGTACTTTTTATTAATCATCAAATTTCACTGTTATTTTGGAAGCAGATCTTCAAGTTCATTTTAGCTTTTGTTCTAGTTTCACAGCTATGTATCCTTTATGGAGCTCTCAAATGACCGTAAAATCCTGTTGACTTTTTTTTACTTTTTTTATTTTGTTTGATATATTTTTAAAAGTTTGCATTTAAGTGTTGTTTTCCTAATTTATAAAACAAAACCTGACACAACATACTCAACCGAACTTTTGGTCAATGTTTCCTTGTTTGTGAACTATTACAATGTTTCCATAATTGCTTTATCAAATGTTTATTCATAATAAAAACAACTCTTTAAATTGTTTTTGTATTGATGACTTAACACTAAATTTGATTGGTACCTATGTGCAGTGGTTAATTACTAACAGAATATGCTCTCATTATTTCTTCAATGCATTAACAAATAAACAAGTTATGAATAGAAAGATGAAAGAAAAACGTCATTTATCCCTTTGCTACGTATTAAAAAAACGTTTTAAAAGGATATTATTTATAAACAGACAAGTAAATAACAATATCACGGAAACTCGTCTTCTAAAATTAATCTACTATGACTTCAAGGTGGATCTCTGATTTAGATAAGTTTAAGTTTTTATTTTTTTTTTTTTCTAAATCTCCTTTCTAAGAAAAAGATGTGTATAAGTAACATGTAACCCCCCCCCCCCCAACTGTGTGTGTGTGTGTGTGTGTGTGTTTAAGTTGATTAATAAAAAAAAACATATGGTACTTTTTTCATCTTATATATGTTTTTTTTCCGAACAAGCATTTGCTCTATGAATTGTACATCAATTCTCCATCTTTCACAACTGAAGCGGCGAGTAAAGCAGCTCATTTTTCTTTGTACTTCCCTATATGGTATCAAAATAGTATTCTTTATGTTCCTCTCTGAGATAGAGTTCAGTTCCCCCACCCATATATTATTAATTTATTTAAGGAAGTTTGTTACGTTGATGAAAAACATGCAGGACATTATCCAGCTGTTTTTATAACACATTCTGTTTCTCCAATTTTAAATATTTCACGGTTATGAATGCAACATGAATTTCAAAAATAGACATATGCGTCATTTTATTTGAAATATTTTAAAATAAAATTGACCCTTCTGTACAAAGGTTTAAAAAAATAAAAAAAGAGAAGATATCATGCCATTTATTTAAAATAACTTTAACTGTAATCTATAACTCAATTTAGACGAATATTGATCATGAGTTTCTTTTTTCATATTTTTTTTTCTTTTGTAATAGGGAAGTGTTATTCATTAATTCTCCACAGGGAGAAATAAAAGTCAGTTCTTAATTATGTACATAGAATATAATTTTTATAGAATTAAATGAGTCGATTACTGTAATTGATATAAAACAACATTTTGCATTTATAACTATCCTTCTATTTGAAACTTTTGTAACAAATGTTGTAAGTTTGCTAAAGTATAAAGTGATCAACAACCAGTATCTTATGTCCATAGTACAGTTAAGCCTCATTTATCCGGATCCTTTGGTTCCCAGTCAAATTTTCCGGATATGTGAAGCATCCGGATATCTGAATCGCCAGTTAAACAAGACAAAACAACTTTTAAAAATTTTGTTCCATTGATTGATTGATTGTATATTGTTTAACGTCCCTCTCGAGAATTTTTCACTCATATGGAGACGTCACCGTATGCCGGTGAAGGGCTCTTTGTTGTGCCAACGCCTGCCGCTGACACGGGGCCTCGATTTTGAAGGTCTCATCCGAAGGACCCGCAACTTTCACTTCAAAGTGCCGAGCGCATGGCGAAGGAAAAGTTGCTACCCATTTTAACGACTAGTCAGTCATGGCCGAGATACGAACTCACGACCTCCCGATCACGGAGCGAGCGTTCTACCGACTGAGCTACCGTGAACTGTAAAATTTTGTTCCAATGAAAAATTTGTTGTTTTTTTTTTTTGTTTATTTGTTTATTTGTTTTTATATTATTTCTATCTGAAATAAAATTGTCTCAGGTTAAACAATGAAATGAATTGTCTTTTTTTACGGTACGGTAGTTGTTTACATAATGAACTTAAATAACGGTGTATCTATTAGATTTGCATGGGTAATAAGGAAGCATTCAGAATAGTTTTTTTTTTTAAATTCTAAATTGATTTATCAGTATGAAATGACTCTGCTTGAACCGATGAAAAAATTCATGTTTGTGCTTGTTCTTTTTAGTTCTGCTTCGTAAAAACAATTATATAAATTTGCATGTAGTTAAGGATAACAATTGAAGTTTTCAACCCCAAAAACAACTCTAAACTTTGTCATCAAGCAATGTTGACAATTGTTAGGCAGGAGCGTTTAGTTTCACAACTCAGAAAATAATAGTGTGCTCTTTAACAAACGTTTTGCGCTGAATCAGATTGAACTTATTTACACGAAAGTATGATTATTCTTAAAAGAATGCATCTTAGATTTGTAACTAAAATTTTTATCTTTATAGAAAATGAGCTCTAAGTGTTCAACTTAAGTTAATGGAATTACCACCTGACTAAAAGTGTCCAATCTTTGAAAATCATAATTGCTTAAAAATGGTACATTCACATCAATACATATATTCTTAAAAAAGTTTTGTTTTGTAAAAGATAATAAAAATGTTTAGATTGGATACTGAAATCAAAGAAATGAGAGGTAAAATGTAATAGGTAAGCTATGGTAAAAGTTTATTCACAAAGTTCTTTTAGAAAAAAGAAGTTTATCCTTTTTCAATTCCCTACAGGAAGAGTGGTGAAATAATGTACAGAAATGAAGAGAAAAAGTCGCTTTTGAATATTTCACAAGCAAATAAAAGGCGAAGGTGACGATATGTAAACGACCCAAACAATGTACAAACTCGGGTTCCTTTAGTTATAAAGCAGGGACAATTTCTAGAGATGAGACACCTGTTGACTGACCTCATGAAGGGATATAGCAAATTATAAAAGACTTCTTTAAAAATTTGCTTTGTTGGAATCCATAAATAATTACACTAGTCTTATCTTTTCATATATATAAAGATTTAAACAAAACTTTTGATTCATGTTTTCCTCTTTCCTCTTTCTTTCCTCCTGTGTCAAGCGATTAAACCTGATCATTTGGTTTGAATTTACAGTCATATTCCTTTACATTATATCTGTATAAATGTTGCCTTCTCTGTCAGTATTCTTCCTTTCTTCTACATCAATACTGGGGATGGAAATTGAGCTTTTCGGAGATTTAATGCGAATCCCTGGTTCATCAGCAGTGGGCAGTAAGGGCACAATATAAAGGGATTCATCTACCGATTGAAGGTCACTTATCGTAGTGTTGGTATCCATGGTTTCAACAGTGATGCTACTATCCATGGATATATAATCCGCCGGAGTTTGGTTTCTTTTGACTTTGGCATATATGTCATTATTATGTATTGTTTCGTCGTTTTCTTTAGCTTTTTTCTCTTTAACCGGAACATAGCTGTTTTCACGGGCTTTTCTTTGGGCTGGACCACCTCCGTTGCATGCAAGGTTTGTTCTAGAAGTAGCATCTACCTCTACTGTGCAAATGGAAAGTGAATCATATTCGGAAGTTTTGACACATGTGCTTATTTCATTCAAATCATTGTAACAGGAATCATCATTTTGCAAATTTGTCTCTTCTTCATTTTTTATTTTCAGTTTTTTCCTCTTGAATTTTCTGCAAATGAATATAATTACCACGGTTGTCACTGGTAGAGTAAGAAGTGTATTCGATATCACGATTGCCAGAAGTCCGTGGCTCATATGTTCAGGATTAGTTGTTTTGGGATTTAAATTTGGTTTCAAATTTGCTTTCCAATGGAACCGAATAGAGGTAGATATTGATGCAAAACTAGTATGATCATTTTTAAAGACTGAGGTTTGGAAGGTAGGTTTGTTCGAGAATTCAAGGTTTTTCTCCATTTCAATACCTGTACGGGTAGTTGTTACCCCTGACAGGCCTACAAAACAAAATTCAATACGCTTTTAATTTACGGGAAAAGCCATATTTTCATCGATGGCTTTTAGAATGGAATGATATATCAATTTTATACCACATCCATAGACATGGTGGCAAGGCTCCTGGCAACTGCAAATTTCTTGGCATTGTCTACCATACGTTCTGGAAGGACACTTCATTGAACAGTTTGGTCCAAAAAATCCGATGTTACATTCTGATAAAAACCAGATAAATCTATTATTATGCAATTTCTTATATATGATGCTTTATTTGAACTGAAACAAACGTCCATGCTACGTAGAATTTTCGTAATTAGTGTCCGAATTAAAAAATATATATATAAGCTATTTGTTCACCAACCTTTACAGCTATTTGTTTGGAAATCAAAGGTATAACCTTCGCAGCAATTATAGTGTTTTCTGAAAAGAATCAAATAAGATGATTATCAGGCTGATTTCCATTTTAATGCAATAGCTACAAAAAGGAATTTTTTTTTAATTTATTTTCAATTCTTCATACAAACAAACAGTGAAATATATATAACAGACAAATTACATTACAAACAATATGACAATATTACCTTCAGACAATTTTATGCAAAATTTTTAAAAAGTTTGTAGTCAAGTGATTTCAATTTTTTTAGAATGGAAGCATAGAAAAAAAAATTGAAGATTTAACGTGATTAAAGATGTTATAACTAGTTTCATCTAAGGAATTTATTCGACAGTACATCTTATATTTGTAAATCCTACAGGCAACATATGAGATGAGTGGGTTGAGTGATACAATTTTTCTATTGCGCTCAGAGCTAAATCCAATTATTACATGTTTCCATTTGATATCTATTTTCAGGTACAAACTTAATCTATTCCAAATTTCACCAACATTTTTACATTCAAAAATGAGATGTTTTGAAGTTTCATTCACGTGGCATAATTTGTAATGACTACTCGTTTCTTTTTTCCATTTACTGAGATACAAGTTATTACAAAGAATATTGTTTAAAAGTTTATAGTTGAATTCTGTAAGTTGTTTATCGGGTATGTCATATAATTTACATTGATATATATTTTTCCATTCTGAAGGTTCGACACTGAATTCGTTGCTTAAAACTATTTGATAACATGGTTTACAAAATTTTCTGTGTACAAGATTGTCATTAAAAAAGTTACATCTTTGATCTATGATATTAACCTGTCCTGTGTAGAAAAGAAAATAATTTTTGTATCTTATGTTAACAAACTTACAATTTGAAAAATCATACTTTAGTAGCAAAGGTTTGAAAACAGAAGAAAGAATTTTAAATTCACACAACCAGTTTGACTTGTTTTTTATACAATTAGAAAAATCTAGCAATGATTTAAAATTACCATCATCGTCAAATAAGTCTTTAACATGCAAAATCCCACTGGCTATCCAGTTTTTAAAAAATAATGTATTCCCCCTATAAACAAAGTTACAATTGTTCCATATCGGCTGTCGAAGAACATTATCGGAAGACATTTTGTTCAAAAAACAGGGCTTACATTCATTAAAGCAACATAACATTTGTTGATAAAATTTAGGTAGTTTCTCTAATTTTTCCATATTTTCTACTTTTCTATCAGAAAAATCTAACACATAGAGAACTTCAAATTTTGATTTTTTTGCAATAACCATCAAAAATGAATTTGTAACATTCGAAAGACACGCATCCACTTACCCCTCGCAATTATTGTTTGAAGAATCTGCCTTTAAAACCAAGTTTAAAGCAAATGAAATAAAAGCTAAAATCATACTACATGACTTCATCATGAGTTGCAAACACAAGGATTGTATGTTGCCGACTGATACTCTCCAACCAATTGAAAAATTTCCCTGTTTTCGGTCAAAAACGTTGTAACTAAATGTCAAATAACCTTAAAATGATAGAGCTTATATAATGCGCATATGTTCATCAAAAATAGCACATTGGCGACTGCGATATGAATTGAGTATTGATATTGTTATGTATTTCCATGAAAATAGATTCATGAATGCTATTTGATTTCAATCTAGAAGGTTGAAAGGAGATACATGTATAAATATTTTTCTTCCCATTGTTCTCTTTCTCCTGATTTTTAAATAAAAAGCAAATAAAGTTTATGCATACATATCTTATACCAGAAAAGGTATGAGAGTTCAAATATTCTCGAACTGAAGAATTGTCGTTTAAACAATGATATCGTAGGAAAGCTAATTAAGAAAAGAGAACAATTTAAAGATTTTTTTTACTGTGTATTCAACAAATTATACCAGATTTTCTATGACGTGTAAGGCAGCATAATTCTTAAGTTCTGTTAGATATGTCTAATCAGGCGTTGGATACAAGCGTTGGATACAAGTAGCTAAAATTCTCATAAAAATGTATTGGAGTAGTGAGTCCAATTCTAAGAACTTCAAAGAACTTCAAAGAACTTTGAATCATATGTAGACACATAAATTGAAAGTTGTTACATAAAAATAATATATTGTGAAGCTTCATTTTATTTTTTTCTTTATATCATCATAAATAAAAGTTATCTAACATGACACTGGATCAGTGTTCCTTTAGAAAATCGTGGTTGAAAGATATTTCCAGACCTAAAGAGGCCAGGCAATATATTTTTCTTCACTATAGATCTGATGTTAATAAAAGCCTGATGATAATTACTTTTATAGCATTCTTTGGAACTCGACTTGTGTTTATAATCATGGCAACATTTTGTTTTAATTTTTTTTTCTTCACAATGCAATTACACACAATCTGCTAAAAGAGGGATAAGGAAAAACAATGAAATTCCTAAGGTGCGGCAATGCGGTGTATCGACAAGGAAAATTAATTTACCCTTAAAATGTCAAAATTAGAGTTTGGACCCAGAGATTCGAATTTCATTTATATGTTAAAACGTATGTGATCAGTAAACGATACAGAGACTTATATTGTAACTGTTAGCTGGATTTCTTTTTAAGCTGTTTTGCAAAAGATATTTGATTTCCATTGCATGACGTTGCCAAGTTTTATTTCGGCGTAATGGCAAACACCTAACATAAACTCAATATTGTAGTGTTTTGCAGTTTGAAGTTTTAATTCAACATTTTCCCATCCTCATCAGTTTTAAATCAATTAACTTTTCAAGGACACATTTCCATCCTTCCTTATATTGCCGTCGCTGAAATATATGACCTGAAACATTATTGGCAATCAGGAAATAAATGAGACTTTATATAGACTTTTGTTGATTCTAAATTATGTTTGATGTCCTAGGAGTAGTCTTTAGTCACCAAAATGTATCATTTAATTGTATTATTATATATAAGTACGATTTCCGTTGGAGATGGACCATGTCCTGGGTAAGTGCATCAGCATTTAAAAATGTTACCTTATATTTATTTTTGTAGCTTAATGAAAAACAAATTCCTTTGTATTACTAAATAGTGCTACACTCTACCATTAGCTGTTCCACCATCAGAGGTTGTGTCCGTGTATGACGCTCAGCACCTGGCATTTTAAGCTTGTTCATGTTTTATGACTCCCAACTTCCTCTATCATCAAATGACAAGACAACCATAAATCGTCTTTTACTAGTTATATGTGTTCGAAAAATCTTCAACATTTCCGCTATACATGTAATTAAACATATATAGAGAATACTTGCATATACACGTACCTGTATGTGCTAACTTTTGATTTTTTTTTCTGGATTATATACTGTATAAGGAATTAAATTAACGGGTTGTAATTTTCACGTTTTTTTCGTCTGACACGATCGTGGTTTCTTGAATTTGCGGAATTGATATAATATAAAATTTATCTCCTTTTTCTACCAGTTTATCCATTTAGGTACATGTAAACGACATAAACAGGGTAGGTTAATAAAAAAGATGTGAGATTTAATACATGTAAATAATCGGCGATTAGTGAAAACAAGTGCAGTTATAAAACCTCCTTGACTGTAAACGTCTATTCTTTCCTACATGCAATTACGAGGAGTGCATGAACACCTCAACATCTTCAATACATGAACGTTAGCGAAGCGTAGTAATGTGTAAACGATGGGTCGTTCTAATGACAGAGACATACAAAAAGGTGTTCTTACATTGGTTTCCTAAAGAAAAGCAAATCAAATACAGGCTAGGTTTACATACCATTAAATATTAGTTAGAATTAGAAAACCGTATCTTGCATTTTCAGTCTCATGCACGGACCAAAACATATTGGCACAGGCGGTGCTAAAGTTTGTTTTGGTACAATATTTTTGGAAACCTGACTTAAAGAAAAAATAATTCGTTCTCAAAACGTACATGCATTCCATTGCCTATTTAGATTTTTTTTTCTTTTTTTAAATTAATTGTTTTGATTATATTTGAATTTATATTATATTTTAATTTGGTGTATGCCAACCACTAATACCGGTACTTTTAATTCTAAGAGCTTTCTGAAAGCTTTTACTATAATAATTTTATTTGTGTTTTTATCTTTGATTAATTGTTGTTTTCGTAAGAATTGTATGTGTATACATTTTCATTTTTTTTAATTATATATAGTGATGAGGGTGTCTGTTCGTATATCCGTCCGTCTATACATGTTCGTCTCTCCATTACTATAAAGGTTGACATCATACCTACAGCTTCATACTCCATACAAATAATCACATTTTCTGTGTTGTCTTCTAAGTAAACTGTGATAATTATTTCAATGTCATTTTCATAAAAACTCACGCTGAGAAATATACACGGAGAAACTTGTGCTAAAGTGACGTCACGATGGACCTTACCATTCTTCATAAATATGGGAAAGCAGTACAATTCTACACATATTTTGTTAATGTAAAACAATTTTGTACGTTTCAATCAGTCGAATATTCTCTGGGGTTAAGTGTCATAGCACTCCAAATGTTGTATTTTTTTTTTACTCAGTTTAAGAATATATCATTTATAAAACATTACATGAAAATATTTATAACAGTAATTTGATGTTCATATTTTTTATTTCCAAAATTAGATTTTTCAAAGGGTGTTGTCCGGATACAAGATGGGATCCAAACAAGGACATATGCATAGGTAAGCTTTAGAAATAGTAGCTAAAGACTTTTCTTATTACGTTGACGTTTTTCCATGATAAAAAAATTTAAAAGCCTTTGACATGCATCGTTTTTCCGAAAAGTATCACAAAAATTAATAACTGTAATTGTGATTAAATTTTCTGAAAACATTGTTGTAGAATGTCCAAATGGGTTCGTTGGGGAAAATTGCTCAATATCTTGCAAGTTTCCATATTATGGGAAGAAATGTGAAATAGTTTGCAATTGTAACAAAAGCAGCTGTAATGTAACCCATGGATGTCCAACTTCCACAAATGGTAATTAAAATCATTGATCCAGCTTCGTGAACAATTTTCAACTAAATGTCTTTATATAATTAGATTTTAGATCAGAATAATCTGGAATGACGCATTTTTAAAAGTAATGTTTGACACCATGGCATTATTATAAGTTGACTTTTTGGTGATTTACTTGTTTGCCATTAGCTGAAAGGTTGATCAACGTTCTGAATGATTTCAACACACTTTTTCAACCTGCTTCTCTCTCTCTCTCTCTCTCTCTCTCTCTCTCTCTCTCTCTCTCTCTCTCTCTCTCTCTCTCTCTCTCTCTCTCCATTATTTTCCCTAACTGTCTGCACATTCTGATTATTTCACGGTCATGTAATATAAATAGTAGAATCATTAGTCTTAATTTTATATTATTATTATTATTATTATTATTATTATTATTATTATCATGTAGCTTTTTTTAGAAAAGAACGAGGAAAACTGAAAGCCTTTTTTGTCTCTCAAATTGTTTTTAAAACTTACTTTATATTCTAATACCGGGCATGTTAACTGAATTTAGAATCAACGAATCAGAATAGACTTAAAATAAAAAAAAACCTTTTTAATTGTGGATTTTAATTTGACATTATATTTTAAGCTATATAACTTGAAATTAATAGATTCATTAACACAAATTTAGTTTCATTGCGTTAGTTTTATAATGGAGAGGAACAGCGTTTCGAAATACCGTTCAAACTTTTGTCTTAAAGTTTTAACAACGGCATTGCAAAAATATAACACAATCTGCATGCAGATTTCTTGCCAATATTGATAAAATTAGAGAACCCTAGTAGGATCCTACGATTATAATGTTAATCAATTCTTATATGCATATCTTTCTTTATTTTGGCTGTATTTTTTCCAAAAAGGAGATTTTTTTTTTTAATTTTGTGACTTCTGCAAATTTTTTTATGGCCCCAAAATATGTTTCACCAAATTATTTTTAAAAACAGAAATGAAAAATTATTCTGGTTATGTTGAAATTTTCGCTATAGCCCAAAGTATTTTTTTTTCTTTTTTAACAGACGATACATTTTACAAATAAACTGTACGTAAATTTAACGAATAATGACCTGGGTCCAGGCGTGAGTAACTTGTTCATCAAAACTAATTTTTTTTTTTTTCAGAAAATTTGTCTTTTCCACCAGAGAGCCAGGGAAAATCTCATACTCCAAACAAAATACGTACATTACTGGTGGTCTTTGGTTGCATATGTTTAGTAATGTTTATCTCCATTGTTTGCATTATACTATTGAGTGAATACTCACGCTGTCCTAAAAGGATGCGTAGATTGTCTTCGAAGAAACGTAGAGAATAATGCCTCAAAGCAGGCAAATGTGGAGGAAGTCATTACACTGAACAACAACTAGAATTTAATTTTACAGAAATGAAATTTAGACGTTTGTTAAAAAATGCAGCATTTTTTAATAACTTAACTCAAGCCTTCAACTCGACATTTAGATATATCGACGACGTACTGTCAATTAATAATAGTAATTTCCATTCATATGTCGATACAGTATATTCTGGTGAGCTTGAGATGAAAAATACTATAGAGGTCGACACTTTTGTTTCATATTTGGATATTTTACGTGAAAAAGACACTAATGATAATCTAACAACCAAGCTATATGATAAACGTGATGACTTTTACTTTTCTATCGTCAACTTCCCTTACTTATGCAGCAATATACCTTCATCACCTGCATACGGAGTATATATTTCAATTGATTCGATACGCAAGAGCATGCTCTACGTATGAACAACTTCTAAAACGAGATATATTATTGGCAAGCAAGTTGATGAATCAAGATAATCAGCAGTCTCGTTTAATGTCACCAATTCGGTAGTTCTATGGTCGATAGAATGACTTTGTCAGCAAATCCAATTTATCATGAAGTCAAATGTTGACTGACGTTTTTCATACCAATTGTTAGTCCATTATTTGTACACTGAATTTACGATAGATTTAATCCGTTATTTCCTAATCATGACAAGGAGCACACGGCGCATGTGACCGGTCGGCAGGGAATGCTCACTCCTCCATGGCACCTGATCCCACCTCTGATGTTTCGAGGGTCCGTGTTTGCTCTGCTCTTATATTGTATTGTTTTATGGACTTTGAGATTGAATACTGTTCGTTATCTCCATATCCTTGTTAGTTGTGCGTATCCAATATTGTAACAACTGAAAAGGTTTTAATCATAGTTTGTACAGTAATACAAAGATAGAATTATGGCATTTTAGACAAGGAACTGAAATTCCTATATCCTTTAAATAAGTTTCATTTTTTACACATGTATAATAATTAAAATATAAGATTTTAATTAAATGAACATATAAAATATTTGATGATCACCCCTGGAGAATAAAATAATGACTGAATGATTATTTATATCTACAACTATTTCATGTGCTAATAGACAATAAATTTAATAATATTAAAACCCTTTTCGCAACTTGTTCTAATTGCTTGAGTGACTAAGGGGAACATGAGAATTTGAGTTGAGTAAATATGTCATTTATTGATCAGATAAATAACAAAAGTTAAAAAAGCATACGAAAAATACAATATCTGACAATCATTTAAATTATAGCTGGGACAAGGGCAACTGATTAATAGTTTCATCTTAAATATAATATATTGCGACTAAGTGCTTATTCCAGATATCGTTACAAATTGTGTATCAAAATGGTGGTGTAAATAAAAAGGCCACACGGCATGCTTGATCTTATACAATGAGGAAAATTTTATACAGAAAGAGACAATTAAAAATTAAATCAACAAGAAAATCAATATTTGAATTTTTTATTGGAAGAGATAGGGGGTGGCGGTAAATTTTCCACAACCTTGAGTTTCCGCCAATTTAATTAATTTGGAATTCGATCCCGATTAAACCGAACCCTATTTGAATACAAATTCGATACCTATACAGTCGACCTCATTCTTAATACAATATATATAAAAAAAATAAATATAATTATAATTATATTTCGATTTCAATTTACCTTTTTGCCAAAACAATCCAAAAATGCTTGTATATATAACATTTCATGAAACATAAAAATTTATTGCTGTTTTACACCGAGACGGCGATATATCAGTCGTTTTTTGTGGTAATGAAAATTACAGAAATAAAATCCAAGTAATATGAAGGCACAGTTAAATATTGACAGTTTTATGCATTATTGCGACAATGTTACTGGGTTATATAAGAATTAATTGTATTTTTATTTAATTAACATCCTTTAACTCGTTATACACAATAATGTATTTTTATATGAGGGCAATATGCTTCAAACATGGTGCAAAGATCGACAAATGTTCCCAAAATGGTAAAACCATATCAATATTTATTTCATACGTGTAGATGATACAGGCCGTTGGATAAACTTATGCTTTATCCACGGGTAGATGCTTTATCAATAGCACTTCTGGTTTTGACAACATCCCTCGCTTCAAGATTTTATCTTCTATTGAAACTTTTATTTGGGAAAATCATTGTCTTAATAAAATGAATGATAAAGGGCAATAATATCGTTACAAGCAAGAAAAAAAACTTGCATATGTCAAATAAGTGTCTTTTTTATTAAGGAACCTGTATTGGCTACATTAAAACAGATGTTACAACCCCCCAACCCCCCCCCCCTTTAAAATCGTTTTCGAAAAAAGTTAAGAGTAGCAGCTAAGTTGTTGTTGTAAGATTCCTTTCACATCTTCAATAATACTTTCTTATATTGTACTACGAGTTTCTACATGAACATGTCATGTAGGTGTAGCTTACCATAGATCAACAAAGAATCTACCACATAGTCTTCTCTAGGACGTTTTGTACTGCCACCGAACAAAGAGTTAATTTTTACGATCCCACGGTCTTACAACTTGCAGTCAGAAGTTCGTTCGTTCGATGTTAATCTCCAGCAATTGTCAGATAATATCTTCATAGACACAGATAGGAAAAATTTTTACCTTTGAAAGCGATCAACTTTCTTTAGAGGCACGTCAACATCAACCGCAGTACAGTTAAGGCAACATTTTCTATAAAAAGTCACCGAAAATGATACAAATAATATTTTACTATTTTATATTTCAGCAAGACACTCTAGTTAAAAAAGCTTTATGTTATCTTGAAGAGTACGCCATCGCTATTCACCTAGGAATTTTTGTGATCATGTGACCCTCTAAAGTCACGTGGACTCCGATTTTAGGTCAACAAATGAAATGTTAAATTTAACCAAAAAGTTCAAGGGCAAGGCAAACAAACAAATAACTGCACAGTGTTTTAAATTGTCCCTATTCATCTATACTTTCGCAAAAGTGATGCTCATTCAGTTGGTATTCCGATACATTTAAGTTATTCACCTGAAACAGTCAGTAGTATGTGAAAAATAGGGTATTTTCCTAATATCATCGGAAATTATAAATTACCTAAAGGATTGCAAAGAAATGAGCATCACTTTTTGAAAACTATACAGTAAAATGAATAATTTAAAATAAAAACGTACCTATTAGATCGTCGCCTTGCCCTTGAACTTTTTGATTAAAAATTGACATCTTGGTACAGTCAGTCTAAATATAGTTTTCAAACGCATCGTTGACCCAGCATGGGAGATAACTCTTTAGTACTTGATAAAGTTTGTTTACCTCGTAGATTTTAAATAACTAGGCCTATACTTACAGAATGCGCTGGGATCTTTTTACTTAATCGAACAGTATGCATAAAACGCTGGATATTACTTTCTATTTTGTGACTTCGTTCTCTATACAATGTGAATTATGTATGTTATAAGACCTCTTTCAGACCTTCCGCATTTCCTCGAATCTGTGTAAACACACAAGCAGCTAAATGTAGTTGTAAAGTTTGCCGCAGCATGTAATCTAAAACGCCGATTGTTAATAAAAATGGGAATATTCAATTATAATAGTCAATTGATAGCCTCCATCAATAATTGATTCGATAACCATACCCCTCTGTCACTAATGTACATACACTTGTGTACAAATATTTTTTTTTCGCATACAAGATTAAATCATGGCTTTCTTTCAAACCTTCAACTCCTATGGGATTTAAATCATACTTTTTAAGAACTAAGACTTAGTGGAAAACATACAAATTCCTGTATTTGTTAAAGGGACTACCATTTTATTCCAAAAGAGGGGGGGGGGGGGGTAGGTCTAAAAAATGTTGAAGATAAATATGTCCCAGACAGGATAAAAAATGTTTATCTGCCCCAGACCAGTGATCCCCCACCTATATTTTTTTTTAGCTTGTCAGACATTTTTCAGTAGGGAGGAAAATAAATAATCTGTCCTTCATCTTATTGGAAATAAATATTAGTAGACCTGTCCTTCATTGACATGAAAAGAAATTTTAAAAAAAATAATGACTTGGGAAAACTTGCCACCCCACCCCCTCTTCCCTTCATAATAAAATTGTGGTCCCTTTTCTTGTTTTGAATCAATTAGGGGGGGAGGCTTTAATCTCCTTTTTAGTTACTATTATTAAGAAAAACAAATTAACACAATGTACATGCTGGAAAAAAATCTTGATGGACATTGACAGCCTGGCACCCACAAATATATGCAAGTCAAGATTATCAAATCTTGATAGCCTTTTCAACACCTGTCACTACTGGACGAAAAGAGTGCTGAGAATCCCAAATTTTACTGATAAAGTTTGATAATTACTGATATTGTGCTGTTGTTGCTGATAAATACTGATATTTACTGTTATTATTACTGTTGTTGCTGATATTTTTTGTTGTTTCTGATAAATACTGATAATTACTGTTGCCTTTTACTGTTGAGTCTGATAAATACTGATAAATACTGTTGAGGTACAGTCGTTGCTGAGAATTGCTGATAATTACTGTTGAGGTACTGTTGATGCTGAGATTTACTGATAATTACTGTGGTCATTGTTTTTAACCTGGTAATTGGTTTAAAATAAAACAGAAGGCTATAAAAACCTTCAATTATTACTTTCTTTTACTTGAATTATCATGACAAAATTTTCATATTTCTTTAAATGTTCTGCTTGTGACAAAATTACATGACTGTATGTATGTATGCTGACCTCAATTTCTACATTACGTTTGTGAAAATTTTGACAATAATCAAATAAATTATTAATAGAATGAATATATAGAAATAGAATTGATAAAAAAAAATTAACCGCAGAAAAAAAATGGAATTTTACTTTTGCATAAGATCTTATTGAAAAATAAACTGTAAATTAATAAAAAGAAAATTATGCTATCTTAAAAAAGATCCATCGCCGCCTTTCCCGACTCCAAGAAAATTATGTAGGGAGATCGGTGATCCTTTTTTTCAATAATAAGAAAGAAAGTTCTTAATGGATGGGGAAAAATCGGGATAAAAAAAAGTTTCCTGCAGGTTAGAAAAGTTGGATTTGTACCGTTTTCACTAGGTCAACTGGTCGAGTTTGGACAACATTTTGTTTTTGAAGGCCTTTTTTTTCTCGAAAACAAATATATTTATCTTGCTAAATGTTCATGAGTTTTCTGGTCTCTTTTTGTCGAAATATTTGAAAATTTGCTCGAAAATTAGAAATTTTATCCCTTTTAAAAAGTAACTAAGAGGTGAAAACAGGTTTGAATATGTTCAATCTGTGGGCACTGATTTTAATTAATAATTTATTTATCTATTCATTTATTCTAATGTTATGTAGACGTTTGTAGATCGTCCAAGAATTAAACTCCTCCACATGTACATATGTACAAGTACACACTGTATGCATGCGCAACCGGCAAATGGGGCGAGCTGATAAAAACATAGAGGTTAAGAATCCCTAGAGCAAAGGTACATGTGTTTAGTTTGTCTCTTAAAATTTAAATACAAAATCATTTTTTAATTTAATCAGTTTTGAAATCTCATTAATTTTTTTTTATTTGATTTTATGGAATGGTAAATAAGAACTGAAATGAGACTTAATTTAATATGTTACTATTAGTATATGATCAAATTGATCGATTTTAATTTTGCATGGTAAAAAGTTGAAAGGAAAACACCTTTAAATTGATTTCAATTGATCAGAAATCGGTGATCGACCTGTGATTTGGCTGTATTGTGTACATGTCTTCAGCCCCGGGGTAGAACGGAGTACAACTTGTATATTCCATGCAAATTGTAGTGGTCAGCGTAACAATGGGCACTAATTACCTATTGTTCTTCGTCTGCGGCTACCGGTGTTATCAATAAACAAACTACCTACGCTGTACATGTACTCGCTACTTTGGAACAATCTTAAAGTTTATGGTCGCAGGAAAAAAAAAATTCCGTAATGTTGAATTTGATGACGAATAAAATTGATAGAAAAAAATATTTAGAATAGAGCACTTTGTTACTGTAATAAAAAAAAAAGATATATACATGTACATCATGTACGTTGTACAGACTTATTTTAATTATCATTTCAATTCTCAAAAATCTATCTTTCTTCAGTATTTAATTTCATTTTTTAGTTTTACGCATATTTCTTCGATCATTCAATCATTTATTTGAATCTTTTTTACATTTTACATTAGTATACATAGACCACAAAAACATATAAAATGTAGGTGATTTTATACATAACAGTAGGTCTAAAAGGCATGCGTGAATAAGAAACTAAACAAAAAAATTTAATAGGTTGCTATAAATGCGAAGTAAGGGAATTTAGGCCGGGGGGTATATTTTGTTTATCAGATACAAGAATATCCCGGGGGAGGTGGTCACATGTATTTTCAATTCTGAATCTCTACTGACGATGGTTTGGGACCGGTAAATACGTAGACGAGAAATTGACTTCACTTTTTAATAAAATAAAAAGAGTGCAAAATGTACAATCATATAGAGATAAAGAGAAAGATTAGTGAAGCACTTTTTTGAAATAATATTAGCATTAATTGTTCACAATTCAGATGCAGGGAAACTCCACTTCGCTTAATCCGAGAAAAAAAAACCTTAAATGTATGGATTTTGAATGTCAGAAACATGACGTTGTGTATCGCACTCGTGAATAAATGTTATAATTACTTCAGTTCTGAATTTTGTATGGTTCATTGCAATTGATTCTCTAAAATAATTTTATTCATGCATATAAAAAATTCGATAAGTATAATATCATAACTTGCATGACTTTTAAAACACACAACTAAAGAACAGACATTGCCCTATCAGCTTTCACTTAATTGTAAACAGTATTTCACCCCCCCCCCTCCTTTTTGGGCTACAATCAAGTAAAATCATATAAATAAGCACCAAGTCTGTACTCTTCGTTTATACAAAGATCTCGGACAAAAATGGAATTAAAAAAAAAATTATAATCTCTGCACAAAATTCTAATTTTACAAAAACGCAAGCCGTAACGATATCCGTATGGCAGAATGTACTAATAATTGACCCGATTCTAAAACGAAAGTAGAACTTTTACACGTGGTTGACATGACAAAGTTTGCATTAATGGAAAAAGTTAATTCAAGTTATGATTTATTTTATTTTGTTTTTTAACTGATTTACCGCATATAACATGTTTAAGGAGTGGCGCATAATATTAGAAGCCATATGCCCATAGACTTAAAACTGTTAGAATGAAAAAAGAATTAGCCTAAAGAAAGACGTGTATTTCATTGAATGAAAATCACACTGCATAAGATTTATGTCATGTCGTGTAGAATATTTAAGCCTTAACAAATAATTTAAGAGAGAGAGAGAGAGAGAGAGAGAGAGAGAGAGAGAAAGAAAGCTAGACAGCGACACAATGATATAAAATTCGCAGGGAGGACATCGGAGATTTAGAGCGCGCTGTCTACATAATGTATAAAAAAAATAATTAAAGATTCTTCAATTTAATTATTTAACCCTGTCACATTCTTCTATAAAATAACAAAGTGTACGCTTCAAGACTAGATTTTATGACAAATATTTAATATGTCTTGTTAAAATGAGAGCTTAATTTAAAAGTAAATGGAAAAGGGGGGGTGTTTTCAACTTAATGTGCTCATGCATTTTCAGTTCTCCACACGGTAAAATAAATTGATATTTACAACCATTGACTGTATTAAAGTATTAAAGATATCCACTATAAGTTTTTGATGACAGTACACATACATGTGAGAAAAAATATGAGATTAGATTTTTTTAAAACCTTTATGAACAAAATTTTTTTTAAAAAGTACTTGGGAAGAAAAACCACTGCAAATACAACAGAATAATTTTCCTCAGATAATGTCATCTCATCTACGTGTAAGGAGAAATTTAAAGAAAAAACACAAACATTTATGAAAGCTTATGTTAACATTATGGTCTAAAAATAATTATAATGAAATTAATAGCTGAAAACTGAAAACAAATTAATAAAACGTGACTTTTTTATTTAGAATAATTTATTTTGTAATTGACTGAAATGAATTTGTTAAAATATTTAAAAAAAACAACAAATAATCATTTCTCAGGCTATTTTAATCCATTCCCAGGTTAAAAACAGTGACCACAGTAATTATCAGTAAATCTCAGCATCGACAGTACCTCAACAGTAATCATCAGTAATTCTCAGCAGCGACAGTACCTCAACAGTATTTATCAGTATTTATCAGACTCCACAGTAAAAGACGACAGTAATTATCAGTATTTATCAGCAACAACTAAAATTATCAGCAACAACAGTTATAATAACAGTAAATATCAGTAATTATCAGCAAGAACAGCACCGTATCAGTAATTATCAAACATTATCAGTAAAATTTGGGATTCTCAGCACTTTTTTCGTCCAGTAGTGTGTACAGTAAGTACATGTATATGAAAAAGTCAAATCATTTTTTATGAAGAAATTTTATTTCATACACAGCTTTTCAAATTAAGATAGACTATACAAGGAATACTGGGCAGCTGCAAAGTTTTTCCATCACTTCATGTTCTTGTGGATGAAATCAATTCTGAAAATACATGTATGAGAAAATCAGGACAAACATGTGGTAACATACCATAATTGAGAATAAATTTGTGTTTAAAATTGAATTAAATTCAGATCAATGCATGGAAACATGCACTGGATGCATAATTAAATGTTTGCAATTCTACTGTTATATTTTATTGTTTGCCAGGAATATTGCATGGTAATTTGGTTTATAGCTAATATGGAGCATACCATTTTCTTTACATGATGGATTAACTTGCTGCCTGATCATGAATGATTCCATTGGTCCAGTTCTTTAGGAATAGCTGCAACACATTATATATGCTATTGCTATGAGATTACTAAATAACATACATTGTAAAATAAAATTGCTTTACATTTGACAAAACAATTCATGATATATTGAATACTGTAGTGAATTTATGAAATTCATATAAAAGTTAAATGGATTACAAAACTTTTCTGGGAAATTAAAATTAAAAATTAAAAATTAAAACCTCTGACATTAACAAGAACAAATGATTAGAATATGAAAAAAACATTCTTTCATCTTTACCAAAATGAAAAATAAATATAGGCCTAATCATGCACACATGCATGGTTAAAAAAATGTGAAATGCTTTATCAGTGTACATACCCTGTGGAGAAATGGGTGCATTTTGTATTTATTTATACTTCAAGCCTGGATCTCTTGACTGCTACAATAATAAAAGTATTATATGTCATATGATTAAAAAAAAATAATTATGTATAAATTACAGAAATTAATTGACTTAAAAATTGTATGAAGTCAAACTAGAAAAAAAAAAATTATTCCCCATTAATTTAGAAATTCTAAAAATTTAAAACCATAGATCTAAAGTAGAGGTTCTTTGTTTTCATCGTAATGATACAAATAATATATTTTTTTTTACATTATGTAGCATGTTTTGTATGCCAAAAAGACAACAACATTACATGTTCAGTAAATCATTGTCAACACATTGACTGCAGCAATGAAATTTCAAATTTAATTTAGTCTAAGTTTTTATTAATGTTGAACCCCCTTATTACACATGTTGTCTCAAAGAAAATAAGCTAATCGACTCTACATTTAGTACAATTACATTTTTAAATTTCTAGTAAAACAAAGTGATCAACTTTATGTGGGCTGTTGGGAGGGGGGGGGGGGCGACACACACTGCACTGCATTAGTTTTTCACTGACTGTGATAATACATCTAAATAAACACGTATACACTCGCGATCGTTTTTTCTTCGATGTTAACAAAAGCATATCTACATATTGTACATACATGTGCATACATACCTGGGCTGAATGCACTGCAGTGATAGATCTAGGGAGTTGCCTCAGTTGGTGCAGATTGTCTCACTCCATTATTTTCTGTAATAATGTCCTCATATTCTCGTAATAGGGATAAACAATGCCTTGTCTCTTATCTTATCCCTATTTTCTTTAAAGAATGTCTGATTATTGCACTTAAATCCACTGCATATCTCAGCTGATGTCGCCACGTTTTTAAATGTAAACAACCTTCCGTGTCATCGAGTGCAAGCGCTTGGCTGAAGCCGAATGCAGCCAAACGGCACATAAGAAAGAGAATTATTTTAAAAACATGCCATTCTATATAGGAGATAATCACTAATAATTATTTATTTAAACATGGAAATATTGCCGTTTGTTACAAATTCTTGCAAATATCGGTAAATAGTTATTTTGAGCTCTATTTCCTTATAAGGATCAATCAGGGCGGAACAACTGTTATGACGTCAAACCTCATTATGACCTCATTACCATATTTTTTCCATGGGTTGCCTTAACCGTACTGCGAACGGTGCTACGTCATCAAGTTATACGTCATCAACTTGAATTGCCAATCATTCATGTAGTTAAGCAGGGGGAGTCTCAAGGTTTTGTTAAAACAAAAGTCGTACGAGATAAATAAAACATCTATAATTGTGTGATATTATTTTAGCTTTATCCAACGAGTTGAAATGGTGTATATTCGCTCGGCAAGCCTGGCGAATAAATGCACCATATCAACTCGTTGGATAAAGCAAATATCAAATTACACAATATACAAATCCTCTATATATCCACATGTTTGCTGCCTAATATACAATGAGGTAAATAACTTGCAATTTAACAGGATTTGTTAACCCTTCATGTGATTGAACTGCTATTGTTTTAGGGGCAATGTCATGATATACCAAGAAGTTCTGAATTATCAGGAATCGTCCTTTTATCGTGTTCTGCGTTGTTTTGTAAACAATCTGAAAAAAAAATGTAAACATTTATTATTAAGCAAAATTGAAATTTAAATATTTACAATAAATTTTAACTTATACACGAACAATGATTATAGCATTTCATTTTTAAAAAAAAAATGTTTCACATTTAATTCCAGGTTATGAAACATTATATAGTTATATTTGCTTCTTATTCTTCCTAAAAGATGTTCATAGATATATGACATTTTTGAAAGGTTTGTTTAGCATATGGCATGGTCACAAGGTTCATCTAAAGGATTTTGGTTAAATGCTTATTTGTTAATGAAATCTTTTTAAAAAATTTAAAAGGAAGATCAACGAACATGTATATGAAAACAGTGGGAGAAATTTAAACATCGTTAGAGATGGTAATTTAATTTACGTTATAAATGAAAATAATGAAATCCAGAGAAAATTATTAACACTAGAGAGAGCAATAATATTCAAAGGCCCTAAAGCAGTTGCTAACGTCTATAAAAAACTGAAATTACTATTTTTTTTTATTTCTTCGTATGTTTTGGTAGCATATTTACCAGCAAGTGTTCATTTGAAATTAAATGTATCATCTGATGTGGTATTGAGGTGAAAAAATGCATTAGTATTTTATCCTTTTTGCACTAACTAAAGGTGTTTTTTGAAAGTGTACAACAAAACTTCATGCAGGGCCTTTAACTCATTTTAAACAAAGAACTACGCACACTAACCCTATAATCCCTCCAACATTTATAACCATTTTATTCAATTTTGATGACAATTTGACCATTACATCATTGTTAAATACGAAGAAAAGCTCAATAGTAATTGAATAATTATTATTATTTCAGGGCTTAGAGGTATTGTAAAATACCCCGAATTCAAGCTCTTAAAATGAGGGGGCTAGACGATATTATCGACTGAAATCTGGCTATACATCATCACCATATTCCGAAATAGCAATTGATATAATTATAGGAATATATTTTACAAGTATTTATACTAGATGACATATGACTCAAACGATACAAAACGAAAACTAACTTTCTTTTTCTGGACAACTGTCTTCTTTACTGCTCTCTTTTCCAGTCCTCTTCTTGGGATACGCTTCTTTTGTTAAAAGCTTTCCTACGAGTACAAATATGAGATACAGATACACTTTCAGGATACAGTTTGTGTTCAGTAGCATGCAACCATGACAAATAAAAGACCCACGACCAACAAAATTCACTTCAACCACAATTCATGTACCTTTATTTCAACAAATACAAGGAGCCGAAAAATAACAATTTGATCCATCATCAACTTACTGAATATATTTTAATTTTATATACATTTCTGTGTAAAACATTAAAACACTAGGGTGCCTTGACCCATAACCTATGGACAATTATTCAGCAAATCAGAATATAAATTGCATTTGAAAATTACTTTTTTAACACGTTTGTTCTTGAGCAGTGGAATTTCATATTCTTTGTCCCCTGAATTCTTGTGTAATATTTGGACCCTCAATATTACACAACCATACTCTCTTAGACATTAATTTTGAAAAACATACAGTCCTTGTATACTTGTTTTACTTTGTAACGATAGCCTTATATTATTTATTTCCTATATTCCAGTGTTAAACATTCGCCATCTGTTGCTGAAACCATTTATTCCTTACAGCAATGATTTGGATAATCTTATACATTATAGAGAAAGACATAGAATAAAGTTTTCATTAGATTTGGCACTGACTTAAAAAGATATGTACTACTATTACATACACAGGGCTCCATCCTCTCTCTATATATATATATTCCAAAGCTTACTACATTCGATATTCTCCATTTGTATTTAAAACATGTTTAATTGTTTTGTATGTTTGATATTTCATGTTGTATTAGTTTTATATGTATCGTAAATGTGCTTATTTGTATGTCATAAACTTTTATCTGCATTATTTTTTTTTATTTGAATTTACCTAGATTAGCCACATTTGGTATACCGTAAATCTGGAAATGTTTACATCAATTTTAATTTGCGAATTTGTGTCAAAATGCTGTTGATTATTTTTTGCGTTTCAAAACTTTGAGAATGACCACGGCTTTGTTAACATTTTCTTATTGGTAATTTATTTTAAAGAAAAATATTTTTGCGAATGCAATTGTTTCGCAAACTTGCTTAATAATTACCTACAGCAACAAATTCCAGATTTACAACAATATTTTTTTTTTCTGTATGTATCATCAAAGTACCTTTCTTGTACAATACTGCGGCAACAATCACAAGGATAAGTAAAGCAAGACATCCAAGACCAGAAACTGCAATGATGATTTCTATAGACCCAGACCTTAAATAAAAGAACCAAAATTATCAGTAAAATGACAAAAGCAGAGAGCTACAGATCCAAGCGTTGTAAAAACCTTCGATTTACACCGACGATTTTTCGTCGCTACTTTAGGTATTTATTTCGTGTAGTTTAAGCTTTCTCTGGCTTTTAGAATGGTATTCTATAATAATTCATATATTTAATTCTAATGTTTCACACTTTATTTGCCTTTTTACGGTCCGAAACAGTCCTGTATATTGTTTTGTAATGTCGGTTTAAAAGAGTTTCCTTTCGACGTCAGTGACCACAAACAGCCATTTGTTAGCGTGTAGAGGTAAGTAAATCATCAGGAATTGAAGTTTAAAGTATGATTAGTTATTAAGTACAATTTGAAATTAATTTTAAAGCTGTGGAAATTATAAAATACAAGAAAAAATAACTGTAGTGAGCGACGAAAAATCGTCGGCGTAAATCGGAGGTTTTTACAACGCTTGGATCTGTAGCTCTCTGCTTTTTCTGTCCGAATTTTCTCAAGCAGAGAGCTACAGATCTGCAGCTAACAGCTATCCAGCTGTTTGAAATAGCAAATAATTTCATTTTGTGGTATTCTGAAGACCTTACATTATGCGTGACGTCATAGTAAACATTTCCCGTACAAATTAGGCTCCGCCTTCTTACTGTAACCTTAACTGCGCTGCGAACGTTTAGATACAAGTCAATGTTAATTTTTTTTCTTTTTCTATTGAGCTATGATTGTATTTCTTTTGGCGCGGTTTCGGTTAAACATGAAGAAACATGTGTTTTCTCAACATTAGTATCTTATTATTATAAACCTTGAATTTAAAGACTCTTCAGCATTCCTAACAATTGCTTCTGAAAATGCAGTCCGAATTGACAGATCGGATTTCTTGAAAGGAAGTTTGTTTCTTGTAGCTGTAGTAAGATAACTCTTCACGTTAGATATTTTGTTTTTCGTTATATTTTTACAGGTTTCATCTGGAATGTAAATTGAAAATAAACATTAAGCTGTATAAATTTTGAAGATAGAAAAAATATCATGAACGGTTATTTTGAAAGATATATTTGTGATTTATTTTTTTCTATATCTTTTAATGGAATTTTTTTCTTCATTTTTACAATCAACATTTGCAATTATATGTTTATGATTTAAGGGTCCACACCGTTTCTTATGTTTACAAGAACTCTTCAATAAGCATTTTTTATTTACACAAGAGGCCCATGATTTTACGTGTTAGAATTACCTGAGTAAAATAAAACAATTCAAAGGATATATACTCCAACATAACCATAAAAATTTACTAAGTATCATCATTTAATACCTGTGGAGATGATTTTCAACGAAATAATGTAATTTCATTCTATAACCTTTTGGCGCCCGTCCCAACAGCAAAAAATAATCTAATCCTGGAACCATGAATTTAAAACATTTGGTAGAGAGCTACATGCTTATTACAATTATGCAAACAATTTAACTGCTAGAACCTAAGAGTAAAGGATATTGCTTTAATTTTGTTGGTTTTAAACAAGGTCCTCAAGCCCCAGAAGGGAGAGGGACAATGTACGTTCATGCAAATGAATTCTATATAAACTATTTAGATTTACCCTACAGTATTAAAGACAAATAGTAGTAACAATGCATAGAAATAAAAACTAATTAATAAAAACTATCATGTCTCAAATTATTCTAAAAATGGTTTATTTCAAGAGTATTGAAATGTTTGTGAAAATGAAGCTATTTTCACTTTTTGTCCCCCGCTTTCGCGAAAGCGAGGGGACATTAAATCTCATTCGTCTGTCCGTCTGTCTGTTTGTCCCTCAGTCCGTCTGTCTGTCCGTCAGTCTGTCAGTCTGTCCGTCCGTCACAAAAACTTTAACCTTGCCCATAACTTTCGATTTAGTGGAGCTATGACTTTCGTATTTCACATGTGTATTTCTTCTGACATCACCTTTCTTTGGGTACCACTAAATTTGACCTTGACCTTGGAGTTTGTCCCACTTTTACACAAAAATTCCAAACTTTTACTTTGGCCATAACTTTTGAATGGTTGGTACTATGACTTTTATATTTCACATATGTATTGTTTGTAGCAAGATTTTTCATTGGAAACCAACAACTTTGACCTTTTGACCTTGACCTTGGAAATTTATGTACTTATGAAAAAACTTTAACTTTGATGAACAAAACTTTTGAATGGTAAGGGCTAAGGATTTCATACTTCTTGTATGCAATCCTAAAGAGAAGAACTTTCATTAGATACCAACAACTTTGATCCTTTGACCTTGACCTTGGAGTTTGACCTACTTTTTAAAACCTATAACCTTGGTTACAACTTTGGAACAGTAGATATTGGGACTTTCATAATTCACATATGCATTCTTTTTTTGCAAGACCTTTCATTGGATACCAACAATTTTGACGTTTTTACCTTGACCTCGGAGATTTATGTACTTATGAAAAAACGCAAACCTTGACAAAAACTTTTTAATGGTAGGGGCTAAGGCTTTCATACTTCACACACCCTTGTGAGAAGACCTTTCATTCAATACCAAGAACTTTGATCCTTTGGCCTTGACCTTAGAGTCTAACCTACTTTTCAAAAACTTTGACCTTGGCCACAACTTTTGAACAGTAGATACTGGGACTTTCATATTTCACATATGCATTCTTTTTTGCAAACCTTTCATTTGATACCAACAACCTTGACCTTTTGACCTTGACCTTGGACATTTTTTGTACTATTAAAAAACTTAAACCTTGGCTATAACTTTTGAATGATAAGGGGTAGGGCTTTTATACTTCAAATATGTAATCCTTATGAGAAGACTTTACATTGGATACCAAGAACTTTAACCATTTGACCTTGACCTTGGGTTCAGTGAATAAATGATATATGATAGGGTGTTCATATTACACACAATACGTCATTAAAAAAATGACATCTCACCCACAATGGCACTGAAAGCGGGGGACCACAATTCCTTAAATTTGCTTGTCAGCATTACTTTCAATTGCAATGATATATCACAGTTTATACATTTCGTTTAAAGTGTGGTGCAGAGGTTAGAGTGTTTGCTTCAGTGTCTAGGCATAAGAAAATTAAATTAACTATTTGACATAGAAACCACTGCCTGCTTCAAATGATACTGAGATAAACCTGATACTGATATAAACCGAGAGCTTATGCCACAGTAGTGCTGGCAAAAAATATTTTTCTCACAAAAAGGACATGGAAAAAGGCATGAAAGTGCAAAGTACCTGTCTAAAGCAACACCGGAAAGTCATGGCTACTCAGTACAAGTGGAAGTTCTCTATTGGTAAGATATACTAAAAAGTGAGCGTTGAAGAAGACTTACATTTGTAACCTTTCGTTGACTTATAGTTGAAAGGACATTCCTCACATGGGTACTTATGGTGTTTTAGCACTCTTCCAACACCCGTGTTAAAATGGGGGCAGTAGTGAGCTTCAAAAATAGAAAAAAAATATCATTATTATTTTTTTTATCATTACATGTATTTTGAATGATTTTTTTTGTTATTTTATTTTACTTTTTACTCATGTATGAAATATGTTTAAATATGATCATTTAGTAATATGTAGATATTTTTTAATTATCTGTAGAAACATGCAGAGTAAATGCTATAGATATAATTAGTTACTGTTAGAATTTAATCTAAAAAAATACCAGTCATAAATGTTTCAGGAGCACAGACTTCAACCGTTGCATTTCTCCATGGATTTATAGCACAATGATAAACAACTGGCTCGCCATCGCAATTTCCATAAGATTCACAGTTCATCTGCTGAGCTCGTATTTCATATTCATCGTCAGTGGTTGGGCATGAAGATACTATTTTTGAGCTGTCTTAGCCTGTTTGAAACTTAAGTGGAATAAAAGAATGTATATTGATGAATCGACCTCTTGTTTTTTTTAACTATTATAGAAAACATGAGCATAATTAAAAATTTTGCTCAATCTCTTCATTCACTCTTTGTATTGTATTTTTTAAGAAGAATATTCAGAATGAATTGTAACTTTTTTTAAAGAACTAAAGATATCTATTATGAAATATTTCTTTAACAGAACAAGCGATAGATGTATTTCTTTTGCATAAACCTTTGTCCTTCTTTTAAATAAAGAGGAAGTTTCTGAATCCGAGAAAAGATAAATGATTCCAAACATAACCATCACCCAGATTCTGCAAACGTTACCAGACATCGTTAATAGATATAGAGGTGATAATTGCTTATTTTTTAAATCCAGACAACCACTGATGTATGGTATAGAAACCTAAAATTCAAAAAAACAAATACTCATGAACATGAACAAACTCTACAATTTCTGTTTTTCTTTCCTTTTTACTTTCATGGAAAGTAAAGAGAAATGGGAATTGTGGAAAACTTCAAAATAAAAAAAACATTTCTCTTCTTTTTGATGCTTCGCGATTAAGCACCAATATTTATATAAAAACCGTTCTTTTCTCCTGTATCAATTTTACTCGATTAGGCGATAAGAGATCGTATGAGAACGAATTTTTCGCAGTAATTTAAGATGAACATGCTTTTAGATTTGACCAAATAGAAAACAAAATAAACAAAGCTTGCTTGATTAAAATTCATATTAATAAATGGTCTACGGGTTATATAATATAGAAGTTCAACAAATATCATTCAACTGAAATTGCATTGCGGTTGAATTTGCATATTCTTATTTGATAGTCTAATTTTGTACTCTATTTTTTTCTTTACGCAGATGTTTTCTTAACTAAACTCCAATGTCAAACATCTATAATTCAAAGTGTTTATCTTTTATTGTGTTTTTTTTTTTTTTTTTTTCTATCGCATTTTTTGTGTACAATGTCTATATGAAGTGCATGGTCTGTGTTTAAATTTCCCTCCGCATTCAGTATGTACATTACTCAGTGGGTGTTCTTATCAGCCAATGAGCTGGACCCGGCTAGCAGACGACTCTTTAATATATCAATTTGTACATGGCCTATATCATGCAAGCAAAACAGTTTATAATTGTGATCATATACAGAATGTTTGCACCTATGTGACAACAATAGAATTTAAAGTAGCAAAGAACAACAGAATTTATTCAAGGGCATGTTGTTAATTTTGACACATCTTCAAAATATTACTAGATATAATTGTTCACCGTCCCTAGGCCGAAGTATTTGAATCCATCTATTTTTAAAAACTAATGCACGTGGATGAAAATGATCATTGCTTATTATCTATGTTAAACAGTTTTTGCTAGATAGTAAGTACATTTCATTTATATCTATGTGCACTGCATTGATAAAACCTTCCTTATTCTCGATATTTAAGTCCTGACCAGACACCTCTTGAACTTCATTTTTTTATGTGTTGACATTCAGTATATTACAAGCAAATACACATTAACATGTTTATCACTATTGGGAACAGAAGATATTTTAAATATAGTGTTTTTCTTATAGATCAATTCACCTTTAACCTATACAATTTTTACAGAACAAATTCATTTTAGATCCATACATTTCCTACCTTTTGAATTTCCCAAACAATTTGAAATTGACCAATGAAACAGTGTATGTCAAAACGAAAGTAGAATATATGACTAAGCCTTAGGAAGTAAACATTTTATCGATTAACATTGAGAAACAAAATTAATATATTTGTAATGCCTGTTGTAATAATCTTGTTTTTTCTGTTGCTTTTGAAAAGAAAAACGAAAAATAGATTGCATTTCACTCTCATTTGCTGATTTAAAAAGTCATTTTGATGCATACTGTGTTATATTCAAATCTGTCGGGAAAACCAAAACGGATCAAGCAGTTTCTTGGGCGTATCAGGGTAGATACGGGTGCCTTTATTACCCATACATGTAGTATTTCAATTCATGCCAAAGTATTTGTTCTGACAAGCTACTTATTTCTGTTTACTGTTATATCAATTTGTTTTGGATTTGTAAAAACAAACTTAAAATTTATTTTTATCTATGGAAGTGTATGGGTGTTACTTCAAAACTTTGTTGTTTTTTTACGCTTAAACTGTTGAATTGAACCTTCTGTAAAATTTTCTGTGGAATTAAATGTACCCGTTATTTATGAAATTATTCATAAAAAATGAAATCGTTTAAATATATCCTTTAATCTAAAGTTTGTGTTTGTTAATTGAACTTTATGTTTTTTTTTCACGCATTAATCTGTTATTTGGAACTTGAATCCATTAAATTCAGTAGCTGATCCAGAAATTAAAAAAAAAAGCGGGGGAGGGGGAGGGGCAGTCTGAGGTCAAGGTAAAGGCCAAAAGCCAAACCAAAAAAAACGCATTGATTTATCAAATATTATGCAATATTTTTCCTCTAGATCCGCCAGTGAACTTTACTTGAAATTCGGTAAAATGTATTCTTAAATCTGTAATTTAAAAAGTTAAAAAAAAAACCTGTGATTAAGGTTTTTGAGTCAATAGCCAGCGGATAAAAGAAAAAAGGCACAAGATAACCAATTTTTAATAGCAATGTCATTTTGAAATTTTGATTGAAAGAGGAAATTATCCATTGATGTAATTTAAGAAATCCTGGACGTAAGTGTATCCTCTGCACTTTCTTTTTATCTTTACAATGAAAAATGTATTCCTGTATGCTGTATTTATATCTACAATGGACTTTTATAGGCAACATATTATGAAGGTTTGGAGGAAACGGAGAGGAGGTTCACAAACACATCCTGCCCATAAAGAAAATACACAACAAGATTATCCTTTGAGAAAGAATCAAAAATTGATTCTGATTTTAAGTTAAATGCTTTAATTATTATAACATGTTAAATTCTTACAGGCCATCCAATACCCCCAAACATTAAACAGAAGAACGTCCACGGTAAAAAATATATGCCCCGAATCTGCAATTGCGCGGAGCATTAAAGTTTTTCCGAGACAATCGATATCCTCGCATATATAGACGAGCAACTAGGAACAAAATTAGTTTGATAAGAATTTCTTTTGTATAACAACTATTGAATGCATAATTATAAATTCTGCTTTGTTTTATAGTGGCTTAGACATTTTTAATTTCATAACATTTGACCGCTTTCATACAGAAATGTTTTATAAATTTAGCAAAGAGAGATGAAACTCTTTGATTGTGTTAAAAGGCAAGTATTTCTGAGTCACTCTTTCTTTAAAAACTATTTTTTGTTGATGACTGGAAAATAAATTATGCAACTTGTATATCAACTGCCAGTAAACCGAAGAAAAAAAAAGTTCATTGAATTTATTTTAAAAAAGGCCAGATGAGAGAGGGAAAAGAGAAAATATTGCTTATTCTTTCTCTTTTGACTTATAATCTCTGTTCCGCTGAAGAAACAGAGGATTATATATCGACAAAGAAAGAAAGATAACTGGTGTTGTTTTAAAGGTATAAGTTTCTCTATATCACAGTTCTTGCTCTAACATACATTTGTAAAAGTGACACATGAAAATATTTTCAGTAGTACACATGAATGTGTTCAATAGATACCGGTATAATATGCTACTTGTAGCTGTTCTGGTGTCAAATATCTACTTGTAATATTCCTATTTATTCTGTAGTGTCAAAGAAAGATAGTACAAAACGACTGAGTTAGAAAAGGAAATCATCCTGATTACAAGAATATAAAGGGAGTAAATATTTTACACTCTGCTCTTGTATAATGAAAAACGTGCAGCTTATTATATACATGGAATAAATATGTTTTACTATACTGTATAACATATATTTTAAGATAATTGATCCAGATAAGACCGCGGAATATTAACTTGCAAAATTGGAAATATACAGCTTACGTCATTTCTATCTGTTACAACCAAAACATTCAGTGATAGACAATGAAATGGGCGGGTATAATTCGATGCGGACGTGGGGAAAACATCGGATTGAAATTGCAGATCGAAATTCATTTTCAATCCACCTCAGCTATACGCTAGAAGGCACATTATTGCTAATTGGCAAAGATCTAGAAGACAAATAATTTCAATTTTGGTACAGTTTGAATTTTGTTTTGTCCATTGTTTTAAATAAATTAATATTTAAGGGACAACTATTTTATTTCTGTTTGATAAATATATGTTTATCTTTGTGTTGACTGGTTGGGGGGGGGGGGGGGTTGAACATTTTGTTTCGAAATAAAGTTGTCGAACAGTTTTCAGTGAGAATAAGTATAAAACTCATACACTCTTATAATCCTGTATTGTGAGGTTAAGCCATGATCTGACTCAAAAAAATTTTAACCCCCCCCCCTTCTAGAATCAAATTTCTCCTGAAAAAATAATCGTTGTCTTGTATGATCTCTGCGTTCTGAAAATTATAAGCTAAAACTCACATTGATGTGAACAACAAACAATATGTATTTTGGAGTTGAAATATAGTTGAATTTTGGATCACACATTTATTCTTTGCTTTGAAAACAGTTCAGGTGGATTGAAAATGAATTTCGATCTGCAATTTCAATCCAATGTTTTCCCCACGTCTGCGTCGAATTGTACACGCCCATTTCGTTGTCTATCAGTGAATGTTTTGATTGTAACAAATAGAAATGAGGTAAGCTGTATATTTCCAATTTTGCCAGTTAATGTTCCGCAGTCTTAAAAGCCTGTAAATGAGCTTTCTCTCTTGATATTATTCTATTTTGAATACGAATACTGTGAAATCACAAATTTTCGTTGGGGTTCAATTTTCGTTGTTTTCGAGGTTTGAAGAAACCCATGATCATGCCCACTACAAAATGTAAATTTTCAAATGCAAAACTACTAAAGAGACATACATCCATGAAATCAAATCTCTACGAACCAACATTTTTTTTCTCAAACACGAAAATTTACCCCCAGGAAAATATGTGATTTTACAGTATGTGTGATTCATGGCAATGAATCTAAATATATTTAGCAAGAAGAAAATGTCAAAAGTAATAATATAAATGAGTTTATTCTTTTTAAATTCATTATAAGGTCTTTTTTTCTTTTTCCTCTGCTAAATCAGAATTCTGAATGAGCAGCCAGTATTTGAAAAAAAAAAAACTAAGAAAAAATACCTATTTAATAACAAATAAGGCATTCTTTTTCTTAAACTACGCGAAGATTTTTTTTTTTTTTTTTGGGGGGGGGGATAAATATTTCACAATTATCTATACATGGTTTTGAAGATCAACACAAGGCGCTGTATGTTGTAGATATAAACAGATTAGTTATTAGTGACATGATCTGTTCAAAAAGTCTGTTTTGAAGATGTTTGATGCTTAGCTTTTCAGAAGATTTTGGTCCTG